TCATAAATTCTGATGTCCCACTGGTACTTCATAAGCATCACCTCCCTGTAGCTTCCCTGCCCACAATCTGCAGGGAGCAGTAGGGGCATATTCCCAGCTCAGACCCCAGGTGGGATGTGGCAGCAGCATTGGGTAGGTCTGTGGGCCATGGCAGAAGGCCCTGCTCATGCTGGAGAGGCTGCAGGGGGATAGGCTATGGAGGTCTGGCCAGGGCAGGAGAACTGAGACCTGACCCACCACATCATTGCTGCCATAGCTGATAGTAATAATTTTTAAATAAATAAAACTTAGCAAACTTGGAGAAAGGGGAAACACCTGGTTTTCAGAGTTTTCACATTGTGAAATAGAAATATTCAATTTTCAACTAAAAACATCACAAAGCAGACAAAGAAACAGGAGTGTATGATCCATTCCAAGGGAAAAATAAATCAACAGAAACCATACCAGAGAAAGGCCAAATAGGGCCAGGCTTGTGGCTCAGCGGCAGAGTGCTCACCTAGCATGTGCAAGGCCCTGGGTTCAATCCTCAGCACCACATAAAAATAAATAAAATAAAGGTATAAAAAAAGAAAGAAAGAAAGGCCAAATAGGTGACTTGCTAGACAAAGACTTTAAAACAACCATCTTAAAAATACTCAAAATAAAAAAGTTTCTTCTCAGCAAAAGAAACAATCTGTGAGGTCAATAGAGAGCCTACATCTTGGAAGCAAATCTTTTACCCCTCACACAGATAGAGGACTAATCTCTAGGGTACATAAATAACTCAAAAAGCTAAACACCAAAAAATCAAATAACCCAATCAATAAATGGGCCAAGGAACTGAACAGACACTTCTCAGAAGATGATGTACAATCAATCAACAAATATATGAAAAATGTTCATCATCACTAGCAATTAGAGAAATGAAAATCAAAACTACTCTAAGATTTCACCTCATTCCAGTCAGAATGGCAGCAATTATGCATACAAACAACAATCAGTGTTGGTGAGGATGAGGGGGAAAAGGTACACTCATACACTGCTGTATGACTGCAAATTGGTGCAGCCAATATGGAAAGCAGTATGGAGATTTCTTGGAAAATTGGGAATGGAACCACCATTTGACCTAGCTATCCCTTTCTTCAGTCTCTACCCAAAGGACTTAAAAATAGCATACTACAGGGATACAGCCACATCAAAGTTTGTAGCAGCACAATTCATAATAGCTAAACTGTGGAACCAACCTAGATGCCCTTCAATAGATGAATGGATAAGAAAACAATGTGGTATATATACACAATGGAATATTACTCAGCAATAAAAGAGAATAAAATCATGGCATTTGCAGGTAAATGGATGGAGTTAGAGAAGATAATGCTAAGTGAAGTTAGCTAATCCCAAAAAACCAAATGCTGAATGTTTTCTTTGATATAAGGTGGTTGATTCATAGTGGGATAGGGAGAGGGAGCATGGGAGGAATAGACAAACTCTAGATAGGGTAGAGGGTTGGGGGGAAGGGAGGAGGCATGGGGTTATTAATGATGGTGAAATGTGATGATCATTATTATCCAAAATACAGGTATGAAGGCATGAATTGGTGTGAATATACTATGTATACAACCAGAGATATGAAAAATTGTGTTCTATATGTGTAATAAGAATTGTAATGTATTCTGTTGTCATATATTTTAAAAAAGATACCAGAAGAGATAAGTGAAGATATGGACAGTCAAGAAAACGATGTATGCACAAATGGGAATATCAGTAGAGAGATAGAAAACTTTTTATTGTTGTTTAGGTAGTAAAAAAGAAATTCTGGCTGGGCACGGTGGCACATGCCTATAATCCTAGTGGCTCAGGAGACTAAAGGAGAAGGATCCAGAGTTCAAAGCCAACCTCAGCAACTTAGCAAGGCCCTAAGAAATTCAGCCCTTTCTCTAAATAAAGTATTTTAAAAAGAGCTGGGGATGGGACTCAGTGGTTAAGCATGACTCTGGGTTCAATCCCAGTACCAAAAAATAAATAATAATAACAATAATAGTAATAGGATGAAGGGAGGGAAGGGGAAATGGGATTAGGAAAGACAGCTAAATGAATTAAATATAACTTTCCTATGTTCATATACATTACCAGTGAAACTCCACATTCTGTACAACCTAAAGAATGGAATCCTAATTAGAATTAGTTATAGTCCATGTCTGTGTATGTCAAAATACACTCTACTGTCATGTATATCTAAAAAGAACAAATAAAAAATTAGAAAAATAATTCTGGAGCTGAAAAGTACAATAACAAAATGAAATAGTCATTAAGAAATTCAAGGACAAATTTTAGCAAACTTGAAGATTAGACAATCTAAATTATCAAATATGAAGAACAGAAAGAATAAAAATGTTGCAGAAAAGTGAACATAGATTAAGGGACCTGTGGAACACCATCAAGCAGACCAATATATCTATGATGGGAATTCCAGAAAAAAGAGTTCAAGAGATGAAGGGATTATTTGAAGAAACAATGGCTAAAAATTTCTCAGTTTGATAAATGATATGACTATAAATATCCAAAAAACTAAAAAACAAACAAACCTCCAAGTATGCTAACCTGATACCCATGCTGAGGAAAAAAGTGATACAAGTCATGCCACAGTATTCATAGTGGATTGGTTACACACCACCAACAGATATCAAAATTAGTAGATGCCCAAGTCCTTTAAGATGGCTCTCTGTATCCACAGATGCAGAACCCATGGACACAGAGGGTCAACTATATAACAAGCTGCTAAAAGCCAGCTTTTTTAGAGAATATCTAAAAAAAATTTAAATTTTAATCACACAATAATTGTACATATTTATGGAGTATTGTGTGACATCAATTTATGTATACAATGTATGATCAGGGCACCTTAAGCATTTACCATTTCTTTGAGTTAGAAACATTCAAAATTCTATTAACTATTTGAAACATATAATTTAACTTATAATTTGAAACATATAACATAATTAACATATAATTTGAAACATATAACTATTATCATCCATAGTTACCCTCCTGTGCTATAAAACTTTAGAACTTATACCTCTTATCCACTTGTATCCCTGTAACTATAAACTGTTCAAGGAGACAATCTTGAAGGCATCAGGAGAGAAGTGACCCATCAAATATAAGGGATACTCAAAAAGATGATCAGATTTCTCATCAGAAATCTTGGAAAGAAATGCTAGGGGGAGTCCTGCAAGTTGAAAAGAAAGTAACTCAAAATCAAGAATAAATAAATAAATAAAGACCTCTGGTAAAGGTGAACAGGGGTAATTATAAAAGCTAGTATTGCTGTAACTTTGGTTTGTAGTTCCACTAAGTGGTTACTAAGTCTACCAAGTGGGATTTTCTTCTGAAATGCAAAAATGGTCCGACATAACAAAATTTAAAAATGTAATAGATCACCTGAATGAAAAGGGGCAGAGGGAACCACATGATCAGCTCAATTTATGCAGAGAAAAGTATTTGGCAAAATTTAACATCTTATCATGACAAAACAAAAACTTCAGAAAACAAGGAATATATGGAAACTATCTCAAATAATAAAATCCATATATGAAGAATTCACAACTAACATCACACTCAATGCTGACTTTTGAAATTTTTTCCTTTAAGATCACTTTCACCACTACCGTTCAATTTAGGTATGGGAAATTCCAACCAGAAACAAGAAAACAGAAAAGGCAAGAAACAGAAAAGGTATCCAAATTGCAAAGGAAGAAGTAAAACTATGTACGTTTGCCCAGTACATGTACAATGTTACAAGTGAAGCCTCAGTACAGTACAATGTTACCAGCAGTCAGGCTGCCTTTGTATGAATCCCAGTTGCTGCTAACTGGGTGACCCCTAATTTGCCTGTTTCTTCATTTGTAAAATGGAAGGACAGTTTATGCTTCAAAGGGTGGATTAAAGTGTCAAGTACTTAGAACAGTGGTAAATCTATTACGGAGCTTCCTAGAAACCCTCCACCCTGCAGAAGTACTGGGACTTGAACCCAGGGACTCTCAATTAGTGAGCTACGTCCCTATCCCTTTTCATCTTAATTTCTGACAGGGCTAAAATCACCCAGGTTAGCCTTGAACCTAGCCTCAGGGTCCCAGCAGCTGTGATTACAGGTGTGCACTATCACGCTGGTCCACTACAGGAGGATAGTGTGTTCATTATCAACTTCTGACGGAGACTCACAGCAAAGGTGGGAGAGGGAGGAAAACTGTACAGGGAAGAACCGATGGGTTCCGTTAGAAATACTACGAATTAATGGGCAGAAAGAGTACGAATTCTGGGGTGTGGAGGACATCGGAGGGTGGGGAATATAGGATGGCCGCTGTGGAGCACTTGACAGCAGCCCGCCGGGGTCGGTTGCACAGGGCTGCAGGACTGGAGGGCAGAGAGGGACTGGCCGCTGGCGCCTCCTTCCTTCTGCCAGGATCCTCTCACTTGCGGCCGCTTGCGATCCCTTGCGCTCAGGTGAGCCACTCTGCAGGGACAGCGAGGACCCTGGGAGACTTTGGGAGACCCGCCAGGCAATTTCGCGGGGCAGGGCGTCAGGGCGAGGCCTGACAGTCAATGAGACCCAAAGCGACCGGGTACCTCTCACCGCTCACCCAACCACCCAGCTCCCAGCGTGCACGCATGCGTACGGGATCCGCTGCGCCTTTCCCCGCCCCTCGTTGCCAAGGGAACCTGGGACTCGGCTAAGCGCTTCCTTAGCTGGAGCTTCCCCGGCTAAGGTCGCGCGGGGGTCGGCGGGATACGGCGCAAGATGATGGACGGAGATGAGCGGCAACGATTGGCAAGATGCGAATATGGGCGGGTCAGGCGCGTGGGGATTGGCAGAGAGCGGCGATGGGTGGGACAGGCGCGCCGGGATTGGTGGGATGCGATGACGGGCGGGCCGGGCGCGCGGGGATTCGCGGGATGTGGAGAGTCGCGCGGTGAGTGCAGACCTGCGGGGTTAAATGGGCTCAAGGCCACGGGTCCGAGACAAGGGCTTCCCGGGCCGCAACTCGCATCTTGGGGAACATTCCGCACTGCCGCGCGGGACCTAGCTCCGGACGCTGGGGGGAGGGCGGCCACGGGTGGATCCGACTCCCGCCATATGAGACGCGGTAGCTGGCGGGCCGCGGCCACCGTAGTGCACGTTTGGCTTAAAGTTGATTTAGATTCGCCCTTTGGGCTAATAACGAGAGCTTGCATTGTGCAGCACAGCTGTCCAGTACAGGGAACACCAACCAGCTACGAGGTTTTGAACTTCCTAAACAAAACAACAAGTAGGTTTGGGGGTGGAGAAAGCTGTGGTGGTAAAATATCCAAACTACTGTCATTTCAATTGTGTATGAAGAATATCTTGAGATATTGTTTGTATTACTTTTCAAAATCACATGTACGTCCTGCAGGTACAACTCGGTTAAATTCCAATGAAACAAACAGTGCGGTTCTAGGTGCTGGTAATATCTCCAGGAATAAAACAAAAATCTTTGCTGTCCTGGAGCTTATCGTCTAGTTGGAGGAGGCAGGCAAACTTAAAGTATACAGTTTATTAGGAGAAAATGCTGTGAACAACAATTAGAGAAGCAGACATACCGGGGAGGGTTGCACTTGAAAATTAATATGGAGAGGGGTAGGTGAATTTTTGAGTAAGGACATGAAGAACCAGTGAGGTATATGGGAGAAGAGCCAACCAGAATACAGAGACCTCTCCTGGAGCCCCTGCTGTGGGAGGGTCACTAGGAGGAGTGAGAGACATCGCAGGGGAGGACCATTGGGGCCGATCTCATAGGCCACTATAAGAACATAGGACTTTACATAGTGAAATAGGGAATCTTTGAAAAGTTTCCAGCAGAGCACCAACTGATTTATGTTTTATTTAAATTAGTTTTATTTTTATTACTTAGTTATTATTATTCTTTAATGGTAAGCTTATTTAGTAATAAGGCTGGCCTCATTTTCTGAGATGAAGCAGGGCTGGGGAGCTGGATGGAGGCAAATCAGGTGTTCCAGTTGGGTTGTACTAAGTTTGAGACTCTGGTAGCTGTCCAGATGGAAATGCCTGAGTGGATGCCTGAATTTGGGATTTGCAGAGAGCTCCAAATGGGAGAATCACTCTCAGCTTTCCTTTTCTCCCTGCCTGGCCTAGGGTTACAGAGTGAGACAGATATCCAGACACAGATAGTTCCAGGAAAACACTATGTCTGTTCTCCCTTCCCCTAACCCTTTTTTTTTTTTTTTTTTTTGTGCAGGGGATTAAACCCAGGGGTGTTTAACCACTGAGTCACATTCCCCGACCTTTTTATTTTTTACTTTGAGACAGAGTCTCCAGAAGCTGCTTAGAGCCTAAGTTGCTGAGGCTGGCTTTGAAATTTTGATCCTCCTGCCTTAGCTTCCTGACCTGCTGGGATTACAGGCTGTTCACTACCCACACCCAGCTTATGTTCCCCTTCTATCTTAGTGCCCTTTGAAGTGTGGGCAGCTTGGTTGAGACACCAGCAGAATTGCTGCCTTGGGTTGGGACGGGAGTGGCAAGAATGCCTTTGTTTTCTTGCAGTGACCCTCTTTGGCCTGGGCACAGCTGTCTGACGGACAAAGCAAGCCAAGAGTACAGCCATGTTTTCTGAACAGGCAGCTCAGAGGCCCCACACTCTGCTGTCTCCACCAACAGTCAACAATGCCACCTTCGCCCGGGTGCCTGTGGCAACTTACACCAACTCCTCACAACCCTTCAGGTTGGGGGAGAGAAGTTTCAGTCGACAGTACGCCCACATTTATGCCACCCGCCTCATCCAGATGCGACCCTTCTTGGTGAGCCGGGCCCTGCAGCATTGGGGTGAGTTTAGGGGGTAATCCCCCTACCAGCTCAGAACTTAGAATCAAAATTTTTCTCTAACTTCTACTTTCTAGTTACCTTGGGAAAATTAACCTCTTTATCCTTCAGTTTCTTCTTAAGGTAATAATGAGGATTAGGTAACCTGTGGGTTTAATGTTAGGTTTAGTTCAGAGACTGGTTTGAGGTAAGGGCTTAGTTTTGGTGGTGACAGTGAATATTTCATTAGCAGAGGGAAATGTTTTTCCTATCTTCAGTGCAAATTATTCAGCTGTTTGTTCACACTATAGCTAAAGGGCCCCTTGGTATGTCAAGAAGACAAGATTTCTGGAGATGCACACTATGGTCTCCAGGGACCCCTCTCCTTACTTCACTGATGGCTTCTCCTGGCTTCCTGTATTGGTAGCCTTGAGTCTTCTGTCTCTTGGGCTTTCTCTGTCTTTCCTAATAAAGTGGCCTGGGCAACATGACCCATTTTCTTTTCCTCATTTCTTCTTTGGTGATTGCACCTGCAATTAGATTATTCTCAGTGGTGAAAAAGGACCCCCATCTCCCACTTTTAACTTTTGGATGATGTTACATTCTCATGATTTGCATGAGTGATTTTCCATGTTGTTTTCAAATTCATCTCCTATTATGTTTTTAAATTGAGGCTTTTATAGGTAAGACCCTGCCTTACTTATCCCTAGCACCAGACTTGGTGAATCTCAGCCCTGGTGGCCCATGGGAACCACTGGGAACTTTGAGAAACACTGGCTGTCAGGTCCCTCCCACCTCTCATTGAACCATTGGATTAATTCTCAGTTTGTTTAGGCAGTGGGAGAATTCTGGGCCTGGAAGTTTGCTAGGTAGATTAGCAAATTCTTTGGGGATGTGATGTTTTCTTTACCTCAGCCCAAAGTACTATTTGCCTGTCTTCTACCACATAACAAGGGGCTACTTCCTCCCTCTGCTAGAGGAAACACATAAAGGGGAGTAATTTGAACTTTTTCCTTGCTTTCCTTTAAGCCGCTGGGGACACTGTCCGTGGATTCTCCTGCTGCTTGGGCCCAATGTCAATACCACCTTTCAGGAGTTTTACAGCAGCACGTTCTTTCCCGGTGATTGAACCTGCTAACAATGCTCCCAGGTGATTGACAGCAGCCATTGCATTCCACACACTGACTGTGGGCAAGAATTTAGGCAGCTTCCACAATGAAGGGGGTGACTGGCAGCAGGTCACCACAGACCTGGTGGTGGATGCTGGCTATCACCCAGAATACCCACAGGAGGCTTCTCTGTGTAGCCTGGGCTTCCTCATTAAAGCTTAGCCTGCCTCTCAGAATGGGTCTCTCTCTACTCACCTGTTCCCTGAACATGCCAAGCCTTCCTGCTGTAGGCTTTTTCCATTCACTGGCACATTCTCTCCCTAGTCTTCTGGCCTTACATTCTCACCTAAGGTGGCATGTCCTTAGGGAGACCACCTTTGGTGACCTTAACCTGTCAGAGTCCACTCTATATTTTCTACCTCAGCTCCCTATTTGTCTGTGGGCAATTATTTGTGTACTGTCTGTTGGCTGTCTGCCTTCTGGAAGGGGATCAGTGAGAGCAAGTGTTGGTCTTTGTGTCCAGTTTTGTTGTTGGTACCAGTGCATTACTTGGAGAAGGGTATCCTGCCTTGGGTTAATGTTTCTACCAAGTACTTAAGGTCATACATTTGTATCCCAACTCTGTGACCTTGGACATAATACTTAACCTCTCAATGCCTCAGTGTGGGTATAATATTTATTCTTAGCGTATTGTTAGGATTGACTGAGTTCAGTGTACTGTGCTTAGTGGGGCCACCTGGGGTGTGAGAGCATATATTAGTCCATTTTCTGTTATTGTAACAAAATTCTTAAGGTGAGGTGCGTCGTGTAGAAAAGAGGTTTATTTAGCTCATAGTTCTGGAGGTTAAAGGGTGTGATACCAGCATCAGCTTCATTCCAGTGAGCACCTCATAGCAAATAGTAGGAGCACATGCAAAAAAAAAAGGGGGGGGGTAGAGATCACATCATAAAACTGGAAGCCAGAGAGCAGTTCAGGGACTGGGCTCATTCCTATAATAACTCACTCTCAGGAGAGCTTTAATCTCTTCTGGGGGCTGCTCCCCCAGTGAGATAAGGACCTCCCACTAGATTCCCCCTCTTAAATATCTCTCTACCTCTCACATTGTTACACTAGGGACCAAACCTCCAATACATGAACCTTTGTAAGACAAGCCATATCCAAATTCTAGCAGGAATGTGTTGTTTTCTTTGGTGTGTGGTGTTTCTTACTGGTGGTGGTGCCCCTCTTATCTTGTTTCAAATTACTCCCCTCTTTGTGCTTCCCCAGATGTACCTCGGAGGAATGTTTTTGGTTCTTCCAGGGCAGGAGAGGGTTGGGCTGTGCAGGGGTCAGTTAAGCTGAGGGACTACATGATCTTCACATTACTGTGCCTCCTCCTTACAGGGGTTTTTCCTAGGCATGGGGATCCATTGTGATGAGTCCACAGGCCTTTAGAGACTTGCATTCCTTCCTCCTGCCCACCCTGGCTCTCTATAGCTCTCCTCTAGAATGTACAGAACATTCTGATATGTTCTAACTTACCCCAGGATCCTGGGTATGCCTGGTGATCAGGGCTGCCTGACTCCAGAAGGAACAGAAAACACAGTGGGGTGGAAGAGGGTAGGATGTCTGACCTTTGGATATCTCTGTTTTCAGAGGATGAAGCATTTGGGGACAGAGGATAGAGCAGAAGAATGAAAACTCTTAAATTGTAATATTTTTAGGGCCGGATTCTGTTGGGATTTAGCATGCTTCTTTTTAAGAATGACTATTATAATTTAGGCATAAGTGAAGTAATGCTCTGTACTAGTTTCTTATGGCATTGTAATAAAGTACCACAAACTTGCTGACTTAAGACAATATTTATTCTCTCCATTCTAGAAGCCAGAAATCTGAAATCAAGTTGTCAACAGGGTTGGTTCCTTCTGGAGACTCTAGGGGAGGATCCTTCCTGCTTCTTCCAGCTTCTGGTAGCTCCAGTCCCTCCCAGGCTTGTGACCACAGAACTCTGGTGCCTGCCCTATCTTCACAAGGCCTTGCTTCTGCATATCTGTCCCTATTTGCTTCTGACTGTTAGGTGGATACTTGGCATCTTGGGCCCCACCACACCCACAGGCTTTGTCCCTCTGGCAGATCCCCCTTCACTGTTGTGCTGAGGTCCAGGAGGTCTTTCCTTCCTGGTAAAGACAAGGGCCCAGGCCTACAGCACTCTGGTGAGGCTCTTTGTAAGTGCCCCATGGCAGAGGGCTGGGCAGGGGCTTCCGCTTGCTTGGTCAGGGGTGGGGCTGGTCTCTGAGTCTGTATCCCTTACACCAGGCAGTGAAGTTGAAGTAAAGAAGCTGTGTGAGCTGCAGCATGGGGAGAAGTGCTGTGTAGTGGGCACTCTGTTCAAGGCCATGCCACTCCAGCCTTCCATCCTGCGTGAGATCAGCGAAGAGGTAAGACCTATGTGGGAGGACACTGATGTGCCACCCTAATAGACCCAAGGGGTTGGGGATGGGTCTCTGTCCATGGAGAGCGAAGGAGCAGGTCCAGAGGGGCAGGGGCTACAGTACCATCTTGAAACATAGGAACTTTGGTGGCCTTGATCCCAAGACTATCTACCATCTCTGCCTTTCAGCACAACCTGCTCCCCCAGCCTCCTCGAAGCAAATACATCCACCCAGATGATGAGCTGGTCTTGGAAGATGAATTGCAGCGTATCAAACTGAAAGGCACCATTGATGTGTCAAAGTTGGTCACAGGTGGGAGCCCAATGAGAGTGGGTAGAGCCCAGCATGAATATGTTAGCATGGGGAGAAACAGGGAATTCAATGAGAGGGTGGTAGAGGTAGGGAGTCCAATGAGGGTATATTGGTAGGAGGTTGGGAGAGACTTCACCATGGTTGTGTTGGGGGGCTCTGTGGGGGCTGTCAGGGCTTGTGCTTGAGAGGCTGGTGCATTTATGTTTGTGGGAAAGTAGGGTGCCATCACTGGGTGAGACCAATCTTCCAGCCTCTACCCAGGGACAGTGACCCCAGAAAGTTGGCTTTAGTTTCAGAGTCCTAAAGAAAATTAACTGGTGTGTTGAGAGGGGCTGGTGGTTCTGCCCATTTGGGTGATGGGAGGAGGTGGGAACACCTGACCACCTCACTGCTCCCCAGGAACAGTCCTGGCAGTGTTTGGCTCCGTGAGAGATGATGGAAAGTTTCTGGTAGAGGACCACTGCTTTGCTGACCTTGCTCCACAGAAGCCTGCACCCCCTCTTGACACAGACAGGTGAGGAGTCCCAGTGCCAGGGCCCCAGTGCCAGTGCAAAGAGAGGTATATCCTTCCATGGCACCCTGCAGGACCCCACTGTCTCTGCAGGTTTGTGTTGCTCGTGTCTGGACTGGGCCTGGGTGGAGGCGGTGGCGAGAGTCTGCTGGGGACTCAACTGCTGGTAGATGTGGTGACGGGGCAGCTCGGGGATGAAGGAGAACAGTGCAGTGCTGCCCACGTCTCCCGGGTTATTCTTGCCGGCAACCTCCTCAGCCACAGCACCCAAAGCAGAGATTCTATCAACAAGGTATGGAGGCTACCTGGCTGTATTCAGCCTTCCTGCTGCAGTGGGCGGGCTCCTGCACTGGGGCTATGTTCACAAGCAGCCCTGCTTCTTGATGGTATATGGGCCAGAGAGGGGTGCAGGGTCTATGAGGCAACTCTAAATCTTTCTGCTGGTGGGCTTTGCTCTGCTTTCCTCAGCTGAGAACTTAGGTGGGCTCTGGGTGTCCCTTTGACCTCAGGGCCTAAGGGCTTCCTGGGTTTCTACTCCCAGGCCAAGTATCTCACCAAGAAAACCCAGGCAGCCAGTGTGGAAGCAGTCAAGATGCTGGATGAGATCCTCCTGCAGTTGAGTGTGAGCAGCTTTGGGGGCTGGCAGGGTATGGAGACCCCAGTCTGTGAAGCTGTTGAGTGGGGATCGGGAGGTTGGGTGGCTGACTTGGGAAGTGGGAGCTCCCTCAGGTCCTGCAAGCTTTCCCTACCCTATGCCCTCTAGGCCTCGGTGCCTGTGGACGTGATGCCAGGTGAATTTGATCCAACCAACTATACGCTCCCCCAGCAGCCCCTGCACCACTGCATGTTCCCACTGGCCACTGCCTACTCCACACTGCAGCTGGTCACCAACCCCTACCAGGCCACCATCGATGGAGTCAGGTAGCTGGTACAGCAGAAGGAGCAGGGGAGAAGGTTGGGGAGGAGGCAGGGCAACAAAAGGTTCTTGTACAAGGTTGGCCTGGAGCACCCCAAAAATATGATATGAGCTCTGGGCTGGCTGTTATGGGTGGAGCAGAAGCAGTGGGCCCCAGGCCAAGGGTCAGCAGAGCCTTGCCTTGCAGGTTCCTGGGGACATCAGGACAGAATGTGAATGACATTTTCCGATACAGCAGTATGGAAGACCATTTGGAGATTCTGGAGTGGACTCTGCGAGTCCGTCACATCAGCCCCACAGCTCCTGACACCCTAGGTAACAGCATAGTCACACTGGTGGGATCTGTGGGCCAAGACAGCTTCCTGAGATTACACTGCCTTGCCCAGGCCTGTTAAGGAGAAGCCTGTTCTGGAAGCTACTCTAGACTCTTAATTTGTCTTTGACCATGGCTCCCCAGTGCTCAAGACCATGGGAGTATATTGGAAGTTTGGGTTTTGCATGGTATAACCCCCCAGTCCCCACCCCTGAGGGCAGAGGCAACAGGGCCCCTGACCTTCCCCTCAGGCCTTGTGGTAACATGGCACTTTTTTCACAACTGGGACCTGCTACTGGCATTTAGTGGGTAAGGGGAGGAATGCTGCTGTATATCCTGTGCAGAATAGCCCCATGGCAGGACTGCCTAGTCCCGGGTATCCTCTATACAGGCTGAGAAGCCCTGCTCAGCAACAGGCCCCTTTCCAGGTTGTTACCCCTTCTACAAAACTGACCCATTCATCTTTCTGGAATGCCCTCATGTCTACTTTTGCGGGAACACTCCCAGTTTTGGCTCCAAAATCATCCGAGGTAAGTTTTGTCTTTTGACAACCCTGAGCTCACAAGAGCAATTTGTTCTTCCCTGGGGGAGAAGTCCCCATGAACTAGATTGCCTGGGGTCTGCCCTGTGACTGTTATTTTATTTAAGGGGGCCAGGCTGACTGGGGGCTGAAATGGCTCTGAGCTGTGTACTTCTGTTGTCACCCCCCACTGTGACTCCTCTTTACTTCTGGGGGCTTTCTTGTGAGGCACACCTTGCCCAGAACCCTAAGTGGATCCAATATGGCTCCTTTGTAGGCCCTGAGGATCAGATGGTGCTATTGGTGGCCGTTCCTGACTTCAGTGCCACCCAGACTGCCTGCCTGGTGAACCTGCGCAGCTTGGCTTGCCAACCTATTAGCTTTGCTGGTTTTGGAGCAGAGGATGATGACCTTGGAGGCCTGGGATTGGGCCCCTGATTTAGAGGGGCAGCCTGAACCAGGCCATTTGCCTTTGCAATATAAGCCTTGTAAATAAAGCATTTATGTTTACTTGTCTGAGCTTTGACCTCCTCCTGGGCATACCTGGGATAGGATCCTAGTAGGGGGCCAGCCTCTCCCCTTAGAGCTGGTCAGAACAGCAATGGTCAGTGCCATGAGCTTGTTTTATTGGTGTGACCTTGGGTGTCTCCCTGCCTCTCCCTGAAGGCTGGCAGGCAGGGCAGGAATCTCTGCACAGACACTGGCTCTTGGGTCCTTGTCTCCTTTGTGTCCCCTGCAGGACCTGCACGAGGGGCCTTCCATGTGCTGATGGGTGTGTCTGTGGGCACAGGCTTGGGAAGTGTTGCTGTAGCTTGAGCTGGGCCAGGTGGTGATGAGACCCTGGTCTCAGAAGTCTCCAAAGTTCACCGTGTAGGTCTCCACTGTTGTGAAGGGGAACGCAGGGCCAGTAGCTATCTCCTCTTCCTCCTCTTCCCCCTCTTCCCCCTCCTCTTCGGGCTCCAACTCAGTCCCAAACTCTGTTCCAAACTCTGTCCCAAACTCTGTTACTACCTCCGTGTAGGTCTCGGTTTCCGATTCCTCCCAACCTGCAGTGGTTGTAGGTAGAAGGCCCCAGGGTCCCCAGGTAGTGCCTGGGGTGGGAGCAGCAGTGGGGCTGGGGACAGGGGTTGGAGTAGTGGTGGGACCCACAGTGGTATTGAGGCGACGCAGTCGCATCCGCTCTCGCATTCGCAGGCGGTACTGTAGGCGGCGCTGCTGCAGGCGGCGCTGCTGAGGGGTCATGGGGCGTAACGGGTCAACACGCAGAATGGGCCGGTTCCCATTCATGGCCATGATCTCCCGAATGCGTTTCCAGTTGGAGCGAGCCAGGATGAAGTTGCACTGGGTGGCCCCAATGTCATAGTCCACATTGCAGGTCTTGGAACTGGAGGTATAACCCTCTGCATGGGCTGTCACTCGATACTCACCCGGGTTCAAAATGCGCCAGTAATCACCACCACTTGCTACACAGGAAAGACAAGCTGGCTGTCCCAGAGCCTCTTTAGCTCCACCCTTCCCCTCTGAGCTTCCCAGCCCCAACCTCTTCTAGGTGCCCACTAGTCCCTGTTCTTCCTGTGGCCAGGCCTTTCTCTGGCTGAGTCCTGCAGAGCAGGCCATCTTGCCTCACAGATGTGTCTCCCTTTGTTGTGGGTACTTGGGGAGGACAAGATAGACTCCACCTGGGGAAGGTGGGTAAAGGTATGCACACAAGGTACCTGTCTTCACGCCATGGTTGATGCCATTCACAGAGATGGTGGCATTGGCAATGGGAATGCTTTGTTCATCTGTCACTACACCTTTGATGCCACGATGCACCTGTGGGAAGGAGGGAGATGAGGCTGGGGGACCACATGGAGACCCTATTTTGAGGACCCTGTCCCAGACTTCACCCTTCTCTCCACATGCAGCCCAGACTGCCCTACCTGCTCCATGAAGGTGAGCAACGCCTCCTTGTTGTTTTCCCACTCCCGGGGCAGCTCACTTTCATGGGGGAATTTATCACAGCCCAGGTAGATAGAGAGCTCCAGGCAGTTGGTATGCAGGTAACTGAAGTCATTGATAGCTGGACGGACAGATAGAATTAGTCAGCCTCTCCTTGGGCTGTTCCCCACCACAGCCCGTCCCAGGCTGACTCACTCCCTGACCGCGGATTCCACTTGGCCCCGTTGACAATGCCCATGCCGTTGGTGTAGTCCTGGGCCTGACAGCCTCCTCGGTAGGGCTCTGTCATGGTGAGGTGAGCAGAGGCAAAGGAGATGGCCAGCCAGCGGAAGATGGCATGGTCTGGGGTCTCCTGAGCCTCAGATGCCTCTTCATCATCCTCTCCACGGGCAGCTGCCATGGCTGCAGCTAGCAGCTGCTCCTGGCTGGGTGTGCGGGCCATATCATAGGGGTAGGATACGAGCCGCTCACCACCATTCAGATTTGCTCCGAGCACAAAGGGGTTCTTCTCCATCCAGGCAATGATGGCTCTGACCTCCGTGGATACCTGGGGGTGGCCAGCACAAGAGGCCAAGGCTCCCATCATCATACCCCCTCCATCCTCCATAGATGCTCATGACAGTGGCTCACTTTTCTCATCCTGTTATGTCCCTCTGACTCTCTCCCAGCCCCTAAATCTTAGCACCTGAGGTTAAGCCACTTTCCTACTCCCCAGCCCAGATTTTCAGGGTTAATTCCTCACCGTGGCATCTGGAGACAGGTAGCGCTCAGGGATGGGCAGGTTATTGTTGGGGACCCGGTAGGGGACCCACTTCCTCTCCTCAGCTCCCCAGAGCACAGAGTTTAGATCCGGAAAGTCCTCAAAGATGTCAAAGCCTTCCTCGGTCCACAACCCCAGTGCCCAGTTCCCAAACTCTGAGCCCTGTGAGAAGTCAACAGGGTCAGCTTTGGCCTCTTCAGCTGCTCATCCCCCAACCCCCACCCTTCCCTGGCCAGCCCCAGGTCCCACCTACCATCTGTGCAGCCACTTCATAACCATCAGGGTTCAGTGAGGGCACCAGGTGGATGCGAGTGTCCTGCACCAGGTTGCGCACACGGGGGTTCCCATCACGGTACTCTCGGCACAGGTACTGCATGAGCAACAGCAGTAGCTCTCGGCCCAGCACCTCGTTGCCATGGATTCCAGCTGTGTAGCGGAACTCGGGCTCCCCTGAAAGGGCAGGAGCCACAGCAAGCACTCAGTCTCACGAGGCCCAGGGCGTTTGAGAAAGGGCCCAGACTCCAGGGGACAGGGGGCAGGGAGCAGCTGAGGTTTATGGTGCCCAGCAAGACAGGCCTGGATCCCCAGAGGGACTCCAGGAGCAAGCAGGAGGTGGTGAACTCCACATAGCAACTGCACAGGCCCTGCTGCAGTGCCAGGGTCTTGCCTCTGATCCTCTGTGGAGTGGAAGCTGAGCCAAGTAGCTCAGGGCCAGGCAGCCAGGGCTAGCAGAATGATGCCCTCAGGCCCTCACCCAGCTCATGATCCCCAGGGTTGTCCGAGATCTCCATGGCATATATCTTGAGCCCTCGTGAGCTCTTTCCCAGGCTGTATGTGCGGGTGATGGTGGGGCATTCTTCATTCACCACCTTCATCAGCTGGCAGGGAGAGGGCACCACATCACTGACCATGCCTCTTCTTCTGTCCTGATCTGTTTTATGGGATGGATAGCTAAACCCAGCCCCTCTCAGGTGGCCCACAGGTTCTAGCCTTCCTAAGTCAAGGGGCAATCAACATCCCTCTAAGGGAGGCTGGGCCCCTGAATCAGCAGGACTGGGCTAGGTATGAGTTCCAGTCACCCCTGCAAAGGGCCCACCCTGGCATGGGACACAGGCTTCTAACCTGGCGCATGTCCTTGTAGCTGTGGTGCCGGAAGTCCAGGTCATCAGTCGCCACCACCTCATTCTGTGCATAGTAGCTGTGGACAGCTGCAGAGGGGTAGGCAGTCGGGATCTTGATGTTGACTCACCCACAGATCAACTCCAGCCACCCCAACCCCTGGCCAGCCCCTCCATACTCACGAGTCACGGGGCAGCCCAGCACTTCCAAGCGCATGCACAGGCTGCCATTCCAGGTAAGTGGGTAGATCCGGATGAATCGGGCCACCACTGGCTCTGGAAGCTCACTCAGCACAGGTGTGTCCTTGTCCACATTCCCGTGGAAGATCTGGGGAGGGACAGGCCTCAGAATAGCACTCCTACCCCTTCTGAGAGCCCACTCTGGCCCACACAACAGAAACAGCACAGGGTTCAGGTGCCTACCATTTCCTCATAGCCATTGGTGTACATCATCCATGTCTGGCTGTCATTGCTGAAGCCCACGAAGAAAGTGGTCACAAAGTCGTCACTGTGGAGAAGATGTTGTCAGGGCAAGGCTTCTCTCCTGCACCAGGCCCCAGGCCCCAGGTGACCTAATCCCCCTTTCTGAACCAGCAGGGCTATGGAGTTTTACTCAGGCATCAGGTACCAGGTCCTGTGCCTGTCCATGGCTATGGGTGGTAGTTTGTCCCTGACCTCATGCTCATCTGAACTCAGGGGCTAACTACTATGGCTGAGGGTCAGGGGCAAGGCTGGCCACTCATGGATTTTACTGGCTTTTCTGGACCAGCTCAAGGGCTGACTGAAATGTCCCAAATGGGACTCCAAACCTTGCCAACTTCCCAAGAGCCCAGCCACGTACTGAATGCTGGAGTCTCGGCCCTGGGTGATGACGCCAGTGAACCGAGTAGTCCTCCTGGTGTCCACCTCAATCCACTGGGTCTGTGAGTCATCCTCAGCACACCATGCCCCATCATAGTAGTCATCCTCATTGGCACCAGCCTGTCCAGAATAGTAGGTGCTGAGCATGGGTGGAAGAGCCCTTTGCCTGCTAGGGGATGGGCCAACCACTCACCCACCTGCATGTTGAGCCGGCCACGCTGTGCCCCTAGGCCATGGCGCAGCATGGAGGAGGCGCGGATCTGGTTGTCCTCAACGCGGTGCGACTCCATCCCAATGGGCGGGCACTCTGAGGACACACACCCCAGGCTGATGGCTAGGGGCTCAGATCTCCCTCCACCAGCCCAGAGCTACAGGGCCTACAGCCCATTCCCCTCAAATCAGAGATGCTAATTGGAGGCTGTGGCAGCTTGTGGCTCTGCTTCCTCTGCTTGGGCCACAGCTGCCCTATCTGGAGAAAGAACATGCTGATGGTGCCCAGCTCTCAGGAACCCAGGACTCACATTAAATCCCGTGCAGAGCCCTGCCAGTCATGACTTCACCCAGATGATGAGGTCATCTGCACACTGGCCCCCACAAGGATGCCCACCTGTAAAGGCAGCTGGAGGCCTTGATTTTCACCCAAGGCCCTCCTCACTCCCTACCCTGCCCCAGCTGCAATTTTATTTGGTGTATGGTCTTGAGCTAGTTTTTGTCCTATCCCTACCCATCCCCACTCACTGATTTTCTCCACTGGAGCCCACTCCTCTTCCAGCTCCTCGCCCTTTCGGGGACCTGTGGACAAGGGAGGAGCTAGATCCAAAGGCCCAAGG